TGAGTGAAGTAGTCTCACGATACCATGTTAATCTCGTGTGTAATGTCCAACAAATCAACGTGCTAAATCCAACATGAAGCAGCAGGCTCCTCCAAAGCACACAGAAAGCAGTGAGCTTGTTTGTTTTTTCCTCTATTTGAGACATTTGGCTAAGTGGCTCCACCTGCTGTTTTGGTAACTGGGAAAATGAAGCAGCATTAAAAAAAACCCGTAACAGTGCCAGAATTCTGATAGCAGTAGAAGGAATTATCAGTTGTAACCTGCTATTGACATGTTGTAACCTGCCATTTCGTGACGTTTTTATGAAAGGCAGAAGTCTTTCACCAAATATCTGAAAATATAACATTCATATGTTTACAAAAGAACCAGTGCCATGGCTCACTTTTGAAAGTAGAGGGCTGGGAAGAAGAAAATTCTTAAAAGCTGCTACACCTGCACAGACAGCTTTCTGTGATTTCATTCTTCAAATTTGATGACCTGCTAAATCTGTTACCAGGCTGTTTTGTTTTTTATCCTCACTTAATTGTCTGCATCTATTTGCACAGCGTTTTTTAATCTCTCTGATGACCCTGAATATATTGAAGAAAAAAAAAAAAAAATTTCTACAGACCTTTTTACTCACATTTCCAACAAATTGTCACTTACTGCTTGTAAGGGCTCTGAAACACTTTTATTCACAATGTCAGGTTCTCAGTGACCATGACAGCAACTGAAACTTGACCTCTACAAGGTTGAAGGTTAAATTAACCCTTCATGCACTTCACCACCATGCTACATTGCCTGCAAGTAAGTTGTAGATGCCCTGGTTGATCTGATTCCCTCTTTCTCACAGGTGTGCAGGTAAGGGGAGAACAAGGACCCCCTGGTCCCCCAGGCCCCGCTGGACCAAGGGGACAACCAGGTCCAGCAGGAAAGCCAGGATTTGGAAGTCCGGGTCCCCAAGGCCCTCCTGGTCCCCCAGGACCACCTGGATTCTCTGCGGTCGGAAAGCCAGGAGTGCCAGGTCTACCAGGAAAGCCAGGAGCAAGAGGACTAAACGGTGAGAAAGGAGAACCTGGACCTGCTGGACTCCCAGGAGCACGAGGGCCACAAGGGCCCCCCGGCACTCCCGGCCCTGCAGGATTGACTGTCCCTGGCAAGCCAGGACCACAAGGCCCTCCAGGAGCTCAGGGGCCAAGGGGACCTCCTGGTGAGAAAGGAGAGCCTGGCATTCCTGGTATAAATGGACAAAAGGGAGAAAATGGATTTGGCATTCCAGGCCGCCCAGGTGGCAGGGGTCTTCCAGGTCCACAGGGACCCCGGGGCCCCCCTGGTCCTGCTGGGATAGGGAAGCCTGGTGAAAGTGGTCTCCCAGGTCAGCCAGGTCTGAAAGGTGACCGAGGTTTTCGAGGTGCCCCAGGACCAGCTGGTCTCCCAGGTCCCCAGGGTCTCCCAGGAGAACCTGGAGAAGTTGGCATTGGCAAGCCTGGGCCAATGGGACCACCAGGAGCAGCAGGCATCCCTGGAGCCAAGGGACATCCCGGACCTGCAGGGTTGCCTGGATCCCCGGGACTCCCAGGTTTCGGAAAGCCAGGACTGCCGGGAATGAAGGGACACCGAGGGCCTGAAGGTCCCCCTGGCCTTCCAGGCCCTAAAGGAGACCAAGGTCCAGCTGGTGTGCCAGGAGAACCAGGGCCGGTTGGGCCACCAGGGAGCATGGGCCCTCACGGACTCAAAGGTGTGCCTGGTGAGAACGGCCTGCCTGGGCCCAAAGGTGACATGGGCCCTGCAGGCCTCCCGGGATTCCCAGGGGCCAAGGGGGAACGAGGCTTACCAGGATTAGAGGGAAAACCAGGATACCCAGGAGAGCAGGGTCTTGCCGGTCCTAAGGGACACCCAGGTCTCCCAGGTGCAAAAGGTGACGTCGGCCCTGCTGGGCTACCTGGGCTGCCTGGTCCAATGGGTCCCCAGGGAGCCAAGGGCGTGCCAGGGACCAATGGTGAGCCAGGCCCCAGAGGGCCTTCAGGAATACCTGGGATCAGAGGCCCCATTGGCCCCCCTGGCCTGCCAGGAGCCCCCGGTGCAAAGGGTGAGCCAGGAGCACCAGGACTGCCGGGCCCCGCAGGCATTTCCACCAAAGGCTTGAGTGGACCCATGGGACCACCTGGGCCCCCCGGGCCTAAAGGCAGCAATGGTGAGCCCGGCATGCCCGGCCCCCCAGGTCCTCCTGGTCCCCCTGGCCAAGCTGTAATGCCCGAAGGCTATGTTAAAGCGGGAGAGTCTCGGGACCTGTCAGGGATCTCCTTCATAAAAGGAGGAGTAAACCAAGCTCTGACAGGGATGCCAGTGTCTGCTTTCAGTGTCATCCTCTCAAAAGCTTACCCTGCAGCCACAGTCCCCATCAAATTTGACAAAATCTTGTACAATAGGCAGCAACATTATGACCCCAGAACAGGAATCTTCACTTGCAGGACCCCCGGACTGTACTATTTCTCCTACCATGTACATGCAAAAGGAACAAATGTTTGGGTTGCACTCTACAAAAATGGTTCCCCACTCATGTACACCTATGATGAGTACAAGAAAGGATACCTTGACCAGGCTTCTGGCAGTGCTGTCATTGATCTCATGGAGAATGACCAAGTATGGCTCCAACTGCCCAATTCAGAATCTAATGGTCTCTACTCCTCTGACTATGTTCATTCTTCTTTCTCAGGTTTCCTGTTTGCTCACATCTAATATCCCCCTTTCCTTGTCCTGACGCACTCTCCTTCACACCATTTTAACCCTGTACTGATCTGATTTGTCATTAGCAGGTCATGCAACTTCAATGTTGCAACAGGAATGGAGGAGGGAGTGATAAGGTAGAAGAGAGTGGTTCAAAGCTGGTAGAATAATATTGTATGTTTTTAGAGAATTGTCATTAAAAGTTTGTTTCGAATGATGATTAATTGTCTGACTGAATGCAACAATAAAATTTTATGGATTAATATAATTCAGTCTCTCTCCTTTTTAACTTTTTTTCTTTTGAAAGGAAAATCAGAATCTCTAACAACCACTTTTCATAAGACAATAAAGGATGCTAGATAATACTCACTGCACTTGAATTAACTGAAGGTATTTTATTCAAAATAAATGGTTTCAAATATACCACAGTCACCTCAACAGTTGGACAATACAGTTCAGGAACATTCCACATCCAGCTTAATCTTAAGCTACCAAACAGGAGATGAGAATGAGAACTCTAATACAGTACATATCAACATCACAGTTTTCAGTTAGTTCTACTGTTCTTAGTAATTAATAACTACTTTGGACAAAGGTAGATTTACAAATTATTACATGTTACTGAAGATCTAAAGTGTCACAATATGAAAAGGCAACCAGATTTGAAGCCTTGAAATCCACTTGGCTTTCTTTAATGCACATTGATATAACAAAATAGTTCAATATTTTTAAATCTCCTAACATTCTGTAAAACCACAATATGCAGAGTACTATAAAACAACATTGACCAAATTCAAACCTTAAAAACATATCTTCACAAGCATGCAGACTCTTAGAAAAACAGAACAGCTTTACTGCCCCTAAACTGGAGATAATCCTTGCCTGGATTTTTCCTGAGCAGTTTATTCCTTTAAAACACAATAGTGTGAGAAATATATTTTACTTATTTGGTAAATTTATCAGATGATGGCAGTAATTAGTAAACATAACCATATTTACCATATCTGCAATCAAACAGTTCACAAACATTAGTCATTTTTTAAATAACTCATTTGTTACGCTACGATGGAAAGTTAGCTTGTGAATTATGACACCATAATAGTTTGATCACACGTTTCTTACAATGACAGCTGATAATCATGTGCTTTAAAAGTATCATATACATCAAAACCTTATGAACCCTTAAAACCATTATAGTTAGCTTTGGTTTTTCTTTAAACAAGCACTTTTAATCGCTTGCACTGAAAGTATGCAGGCCTACGTTTACATTTTTTGTGATATTACCTTTTCCTCTTTAAAGCAGAACTTGCAGTTTGTTATGTTGTGTACATTTGAAATCAGCAATGTCCTAAATTCTTGGTAATACACTAGGATTAATAAAATACACTAGGATACCTTTTCCTTGATGGATGATCCATCATTAGCAAAACTACATAATGTTTTGGAAACTGTGAAGAAAGCAACTTGAAGAATTGTTTTTTTTCTTTCTCTTTTTAAGAGCTGCTGGATAAAGAAGACTGTGGTTTAGGCTATAATTCAGTAAAATGACAAATGCTTACATAGAGAGCGTAACATGAGATTTATTTATTTTAGCAACCCAGTAGACATAGGCAAGCAAATTGGTGCTACTATGATAAAAACTACAACCAAATGTTTGTATGGAAATAACACAAAGAGCAGTACCAGAATTTGTAAATAGTAACCACGTAATACTTTTCTTTCAAGCTAAAATAAAACTCCAGACACTTGGGTCTGAATTGTCTATTCCCACTTCTCTAGATTAATGTTTTAGGACAAATATTAATTAGAGATCTTTGAAGAATAATCTCTTCTTTGCACTAAAACTGTTCGCCTGTGCAGTTGCTCACATTAGTTCAACAGCATTTTCCAGTATTTAAATATAGCATGTGCTGCTGCCCATCCACTCAACCAGCCTGGAACTTTTGTTTCAGAAACAAATAGAGGGACTGGATATGGGAGCTGGAAAATATGACTTAGTAGTTGTGAGGCTTCTGGTTAATTACTTTACACATGAAATGTATGATAAAGCACAGGCTTGAAATGGTTGGAGGTGCTTGGTGCTCAGTACATTACTGCCCTGTGATTCCAATTAACTTGGAAGAAACTAGGCCCAGGTAGCATTCTTAAAAGCATAGCTCATTAACCCTTATCATCCATCCATCCCATCCGTCCATCCATCCCATCCGTCCATCCATCCCATCCATCCCATCCATCCCATCCATCCATCCATCCATCCATCCATCCATCCATCCATCCATCCATCCATCCATCCATCCATCCATCCATCTCATCTGTCCATCCCATCCGTCCATCCATCCATCCACTTTAAATCAGATTTTTTCCTTTGTGTCTTTGTTTCCCGAACATGCAGGACATCAAATAAGTCTACAGCTTTGTACCTCATGCCCATTTTTTTAGTCTTTTCATAATTGCTCAGATATTAAGTCACTAGGAAAGCAACTCTTAAAACTGAAAAGCAAGAGATAATACAGTAAATTGTGGCATAAGCACAACTTATACTTTCATTTTAGCTTTGGATTTTCAGTTTAGAGGAGACTTTGAGAAAGTCTGTAAGATTTTTTGTTTTTTAATATTTTCTCCACATGAAGATCAGCAATCTTATCTAAGGATAAAGCCCTTCCAAAAACCCCATTTCTTCTGGATCTTGGATATTAAAGGAAAGCAAATCCAACATGAGATTCAAAGGAAACCTTAAGAGCCTGTAATAGTACAAAATCACTTCCAAAGAAGTACTGAAATTCCTGAAACCTTACATGATCAAAAACATGAAGCAACCAAACAATCCCTTCTGTATTTAGCTCGAAAACACAGCAAGGGAATATAACAAATTTATTTTTTACTTGCTTCTTTGTTGCAGTTTTAACAATTAAGACAAATAAAGATATCTCATTACTGCAACAACAACATTAGGAACTACTAGTATTTTGCACTATTTTTGAAAATGGTTTTATTTTGGCCAGAAAAGCATCTTTGCTTTTTGTTTATTATATGTGAAGTTGCATATAAAAGATAAAACACACATATCACAGACATCTAGATTCACTATCTTCTGCCAAGACCATAAACTTGTGATCAAAAACATGTGCATCCCATCAAGCCTTGTTATGGGCAATTTATGAAGTCTTACATATCAGCCATGATTTTTTTACTTCCGAAATGAAATATAATCTTATAAACTGATTGAAAGTATTACAAATACACAATTTAAACTATATAGCCACAGATGCTACAGTTTTCAGAAGTGTCAAGAAAATTGCAGGGGAAGACAAGTCTTCAGGAGAGAGAAAGTAGCCTTTAAGTTAAGAAATGTTACAAAATTCTGCTTTAAGAAGTTATATTTGGCAACATTTCCCTAAAAAAGCTAATGAATTTTCTGTCCAAAAAAAATCTCATCTACTCTGAATTTTTTTCACAAGGAAATAATTATTCAGTACTTCAAAGTCTTATTAGTCCTCTGAAAAGCACCCTTTTTTCCATAATACATCCACATATCTTAATAGTGTAAAATACATTGCTCCATGGTGTTTCCTTTAAAACTGCTTGTCACTAATATTTATAGAACATCCTCTAAATCCAACACAATCAAGATAATGTTAATCACCATACAGTGGCAAAATATTCCAGTAACAGGAATAAAACATTGAGAAGAAAATGAAGTCTGATATAATGTAATGTTCAGCTTTGGTATCAGTTGCAAAGCGTACTCTTGCAGGTATTAGTAGGTAAGAAATGACACATTTCAAATACCTGTGTCCACTGCTATCTTAACACTATGCTTTTCTGATAGTGCTGTTTTACAGATTCATTTTTAAGTTGTTTTTCATAACTGAATGTCTGACTATTAGGGAACTCCCTTACTTTCCTTTTTCAAGCCTCAGTTCTTCACTTCTTTGCAAGTAGAAGAGTGGGTTAATACCCTTCATCAAGCTGAGTCAGCACAATCATGCCTATCTGAAAGAGCCATCCAAGAAAAATATCATAGGGCAATTATCTAAGGCAATTACCATAGCTAAGACAATGAAAAGCAAAATCCATCAGACACCTGATTATGATCAAAAAAATCATGTGAAAAAGAGAAGGGACATAAAGACACAAGGGCATACTGACAACAAATCAAAGTGAACTACAAACACTCAGCAGATTTCAAAAAATAAAGCGGTCAGTCGTTCTGCTCCACCACTGACAATGGCACCGCTAAGACAGCGTCTCGAGTTGGGAACTTTGCGTCCCCTCAACTGACCACGTAATAGGTTTGCTTTTGAAATTTTACCTTTACTAACTGTTACTGAACACTGTGTTTCTCTGAAGGGTTAAACCCTGTACAAGACATTGAGTTATGTCAAAAGCCTGTGGCTTTCAGGCCAGACTCTAGGCTATGAAAGACACCGGGGCTTCCTGGTATGTAGATTTTGGGAGACAAGTTTAGGAGTTTCCTCAGGAAGTTATGTTAGATGTGAAAATGAGAAAAATAAAATCTCTTTCTCAGAAGTGACAGAAGATTAGAACCATTATTCTTACTTCACAGAGGGGCCTGAAGGAAAAAGAGATGCTCCATGGCAATATCACTGGTAAGTGATACAGGAAGAAATTATCTCTGGTTCTTCTGACTCCCTGTTGAGTGCTTCAGCTACTGGACCATGTTATTAAATGGAAAACAAAAACACTATGAAGCCTTTCAAAGTGATGCAGGACACAGTATATAACTTTCTTGTATTGCAATATTTAAGTAGAGCATATAATCTGTATTGTTTCACTTCTGATACTACAGAGTTTTATCCAGTAAAACTTGTTCCTATCAGTTACTACATTTTCCTGTATTTTTAATACTCTGATGCATGTGCCTCTGACAGAAGCTAGAACGGATTAAGTCATATCACAAATTTTGTTTGCAGATTCCAGATTTACATATAGAAATAGGTACCGGGTAGATAGATATAAACATAAATGTTCACACATACACATAAGCAGACACATATTAATGTAACTGAGCAATTATCTGTATGACTTCAAAGTTAGTCCAAACTTTTTTTTGGATCTCATTAATTTTCAAAGAACACTTAAAAAAATTATTCTTTTTGGTGCATGATACACACTTAAGGAAAAAAAAAAAAGAGCCCTTATTGTTTGAAAAAAGAATGAACAAAAATTTAAAAAAATAGCTACAGTTGATTAGGGTTGATTTCATATCAGCAGAAAAGAAAGGATTCTTTTATTTTGTGTACAAATGAGTTCCTGAGGGAATCCGTAACTACCAATCACCCTCTAAGCTCCAATGGAAACACAATAAAAACAACAAACAAAGCACTTTGGGAATGTTCTGTTATCTTTTACCATTTGCATCTTGGTATCAACTTCTATTTTTGTTTGGAATCTCTCTGAAACTATTTTGTCAATTACATGTGAAAGGAACACAGGAATTAGGACAGCTCAGGTGAACAAAAAGTTCAAACTACACCTGTGTCTAATGAATGCTACACGAATCAAGGTAATGCTAACAATAGTTCAGAATTCAGAACTGAGCTGCATATAAATGTTTTACAAGAAATATCACTAAAAACAATTTTAATTAACTGTGTGCACATGCAATGGTTAGCCTTTATTATCAACTCATTATTTTATATGCCTAATAGTAACTTTGAAGTTAAGTCTGTGAAGGAAAATAATTTCTTGCTGAAGAGTATTCAAGATGTTTTCCAATTCTAATTTATATTACAGCATTATAAGGTTGGCTTTGGGTGGAGAAACAATGTCATTAAAAAAAAATGTCCCCTTGCTAGGAAGTTCAAAGTCTCCTCTCTATTGTGTCAATATACATGAGGAATTCTAATCAAAACTAGAGCATTAAGAAAAATAATCAAGTATTAGTTGGTACTTGAATTTCCCCAATGCATTTCTGATTCTATATATGATTGCAAGATCATAAGCAATAGATTCAAAACACAGTTCAAGGATGTTCACATTACCATAGAAGTCATAGTAAGAAATCATTTTTCTTCTAAATGAAATTATACAGCACATCAGAAATGTTATACAGATATCAAAACAGTCATGTGAAACAGAAAAAGTAATGATAAAGATGTTTTATTCCAGGAAAAACATGTGTCTACTATATGACTGTTTATAAACTTGAAAAGTAAAAGTTGTGTTGAGTAGCCTACAGCATATTTGCAAACATATTTGCTCTGGCAAGCACACATAAAAATTTCAGCTGTTACAGTGAGCCTTCAGTGAACTCACTTACCTTTAAAAGCAGATATTTTATAATTATGTTGGATAGCAGCAACCATGTCCTTCCAGAAGTCATATTTTTTCTGACCATCATGCTGTAAGTGTCAAAAGAACTTAAGTCATTAAATCAAGCATCAGCTATTACAAGCTTTCATATTGAAATAGTGACAGAAATGCCATCAATAAACAAAATTATACAAGTGAGACAGTCTTAAGATTGTATTCAGGACATCGGGACCCAATAGTACTTAACTTTGGGTAACTGAAGACAAGTTATGTCCCTCTTAAGAAGGTTATGATGGGAGGAGGAAGGGGAAAGAAGTGATTCATATTTGTGAGGAACTCTAAAATGTTACAGCAAAGGGGAGCATCAGATAGAACACCAATTTACAGAATGAGCATCCCACTGACATTTGGGAACAGAAGTGCCTAGGGCTGCAGATACTGAACTTAATTAACATGCTGACATTATCTACAGCCTGACACCCGTATCACCTTCCACCTTAAAAACTGGCAAATCCCTTTGCTATAATTTAGAGGTAATGCCCTTCTGCCAACAGCTCTACCCCACACAGTGAATAAAATACTCATCCAGAAGCCCAGCTGAGCAGCACTTCACTGCATTGTACTCTGAAGACTGCCAAACCCCAGCTCTGGCAGGACGGGGAAGGCAATCCTTGATTGTGAACAGTCTCTGGCCATTCCTAGAAAGGTCCCAGGGACAGCAGAGCTCCAGTTGACCTCAGCTGCCCCTTCAGCATCTCACATGGCATTCTCAGCCAGCTGAGCCCCACAGAACCCTCAAACTCACAAATTTTAGCAGTGATGAATGAAACAGATGCAATTACACAGCCAGGCATTATTACAGAGCAGAGGATTAGCTACAGAGCCTGTAAGAGGTGCTCAGTTACACAGTAACCTGGCAGCAGTAAAGCAGGTGGTATAGTCTTTATGGGTCACGGAAAGTATTTCTGCAGTGCTGTTACAGGCTTTCCACACCTACATTAGGATAAATTTCAAGGCAACTGTTAGCAGGTTTCGGGGCACTGCTGCCCTCTATGTATTGACACCTGCACTGATGCCTGCACAACGGTATTTTTTGTAAACATAAAGTGTTTTGTAGAGAGGGAAACATTCAGAAACTGAAAAAAAAACCAAACCAAACCCTTATTATTGCCAAACAAAACCCAAAACAATATAGTTTATATATACTGAAACAAACTGCTATTTCAGTCCAAATCTGCCATGGAGGCTTCCAGAGAACAGTCTGCATTTACTTTCACAATCAGCAAGTCACACAAACAAGGTCTTTTGTGCGTAACTGACAAGCACTATGGTAGTCTGCTCATCGTCCATCAGTTCTACAGGTTAAGAGCAGGAAAGAGATGATGCTGTGGCTTTCTGAAGTTTTTTTTTAGTCCATTCCTACAGCAAACTGCCCCACCAACACATAAAAGAGCTAATAAAGAGAAAAGGTTTCACATGTCAGCATCAGCTAGTCAAGGATGCTAAGCAAGGGTGATTATTCAAAGCCATGTACAGGACATACTGGGGAGTATCTGCCTAGTGGCAAGGGAAGTAGCCTAAGCTAGTACTCATCTTAAGGCAGACAGACTCAACCATCTGCTCCCCTCACACTCGATGTGGCTGACTTAGTCCTTAGTTTGGAGTTTTGGCTTTTTTTGCTTGTTTCTCTAAAAAAAAGACCAATACACTGAACCAACAGTTCCTCAGAGTGCTGTTTTGAAGAGAGATGAATACTAGTTTAAAACTGGGTACATTTCCCTCAAAACATTTGAACTCAGGAGACTAAAGTAACTGTTAGACTAATTCCTTGCAAATCTTCAAGTGTTGCATGCAAGATGTAAAGTAAAACTGACTGATCCCAAAAAGCCGACAGAAAACTGTATACATGGCCACGCAGTCCACCATGATTTTGGTGTGATTACAAAATGTGATTTTATTAGCTGAACCATCATGACAAGCAATGTTCTGTATAGCTCATCAGTATAAAGATCAAAACCACTAAAAAGCTCCCAAGCTTTGTCTGAAACGATCTAAGAGCTCTAGCTCTGGACACAGCAAAAACAGATACATTTTTAAAAGTGCAGGATGGTCCAGCATCTAACTCTTGTCTAAATCCATTGTGAATCCAAATTTAGCAGTTCTCCTATCTGCTTCCAGTAGAAAGCCTTCTTGAACCTAGAATGTTGTCTGGAAATGGTAAGAAAACACAYTTACTAAGCAGGCTCACAGAACAGGACACAGAAGGCTCTACTTTCTTCTAGAAGAATAAAATGTGATAGTTTCTAATCCATTTTGCAGGCATGAGTTCTGGGCTGGGAGAGGCTAATCACCTCCTGCCTTGCATCTTTCTCAAGTGGCTGATGCTAACCTTCCAGGGCATTACTGTAACCCTCTGGTTGAAACTGGGCCGACATCCAGTGAAACACTTGAGAACTGCTAGGGGATAAAGAGGGTGCATGACCCACTTCTTGGAGCTCTCCAGAGAAATGGCACGGCTTTAATTCCCTCTGGCTGAAGATGGCACTGATCCAGGATCAGTGCTCCAGCCTGTGAACTGGTAACTGAATGTGAAAGCTTATTGCACACATGTTATGATGTGCTTTCTCTCTTAATAAGTAGGTGATTTGTGCTGAGTCTAAATTAAATATAAAGTAAATACAGTACAGGTGACACAACTGTAACAGGTTTCTTAGCTGTTAACAGCTTAGGGGAAGATTAATCAGGCAGAAAATTAAGAGACTTACCGAGCACCTGTCCTCCATGCTTCCCTGATAAGCTAATTTTAGCTAACTCTTCATGCAGCACTTGGATTTAGGCAGCAAGCTACTCAGCATGCTATTTTGGAGTGAAGGCTAAAGCAGCAAGCCACCTATTATCCAAAGAGACCCAGACACTCATCTCACAGCTCTGACTTTCACTCTGCACACAGGGTTTAATATTGACAATTTTCAGGCCTGCAGCCCTTTGGTACCTCTGGCCAGGAGACTACATCAGTACTCTTTTGACACCAATATAGTCATTCTAAGAGAAAAGCCCTCTCTTACCTCCAGGTGCACACAAGTTAAACATTCAAACCTCCTTTTATACAACAAGACAATTATAATCAAACTTCAAAAGTAGAATTTTGGACATTCTATCTACCTAAAAAGCACCATCTTAAGAATTTTCCAGTCTGAGAATTCAGCTCACTGTTCAGCAGAGGAAAAAAAATAAAAAGATACTATCCCAGAGTTGTATTTATATCTGTGTACACAGATCAACATATCTAGGACAAAAAGAAGCTTCAAAAAGGATTAAATTAAGCTTTCATTAACAACTTGCAAAGTAGCAAATTGTGTCATTCAGAAAACTTAGACTATATTTATTCAAGTACCATCAAGTATAATTGAAAGAGACTTACAAAACTATATTCTGCATATCACAGRGTAAACTTGGGGAAACAGCACATTTCTATTAGTATCCTAGTTATTTGTGCCCTCTGGTGGAAGTACTTTYATTTTGAACATGCCATGTAGCTCACTAATATCTTCAGAGACAACTCTAATACAGTAAGTCCAACAYGGAATAGTCTAAATGAGAAAAAGACCTTGATGCCGTTCATATCCAAATCATGTGCATTTAATAATGCATGCAAGAAGTGTGGTGGTGGAAGAAAAAGATAATGCAATACATAATTTTCATACAATTCAGTTCTTACCAGATCTAAGCTGTCCACAACCCTTGCACACAAGAGAGCTCCAGGCAGGTCAAAGTAATTATCATACAAATAGTATTTAGCTGGAAAAAAAAATTAAAAATGTATTTTAAACACCTTTGTATTGCATGTTTTAAGCACAAATAAAAATTCCATTTAAATAATAAAATAATTTCCTATTTGGATTTTACTGGTAATAGGCATTATTTGTTTCCCCATCTTTGTTAGCCTTTATTCCCACTTCTGATTCTCATAACTAGCAACTAAAGTGGTTTATTTATATCAAGGCAGTGAGATTTTAATAAGATATTTTTAAATTCTAAAAGTTCAGGTGAAAGAAAAAGGGGAGAACTACAAGTTTTAAGAGTCAGGATGGTCACATTCAACTATTCCACAATATTTCCCTAGTGGTGGAAACACAAGCAAAGTGTTTGAGAAATTGTTTCAGAGCCATTTGGACAGGTCTTACAGAGTCATGTCCTTTTCACACACATGCTGCAGACAGCAGCTTGGCCTAAGGGGAGGCATGGTCACATTATTACATGAGTCCCCAGAAATGTATCAGGAGGTGCAAATGTCCCCCCAGACAAAGGTCATGCTCAACAACTCTCTCCTAGGAGTAAAATGACTTTATTAGTGATTTTTTTTTCATTATCTTGTCTGTGCTGTCTCCTGGGAGTATTAAAGAACAAATCAGCAAAACAGGGATTAACATTCACCACAGAGACCAAGAGCATGTTTCAGTGAAAAAGAAAGGTACATTTCCTATATAACCAATGAAAACCTTTCTCTTCATGCCTTTTCCAAAAGATTATCTGCAGTTTAGAATAAACATTGCATTTGTAGTCAGCAAAATCTCAAAGAAAGTATCTCCATTTCATAACAAAATGCACCTTAAGTGGGTATTTCCTGTGTGCTACAACTGCCAAGATGAAAGTAAAACAGAAAGGAAACACAGAAAAAGCATGCAAACCTAGCCACAGTTCCTTCAGAGTGACTCCTATCTTAAACCCAAAAAAYTTCAACTACAAGGGAAGAAGTTTTATTTCCAGACCTGCTTTGTTCTTTGCACTTGCACCTAGACCTCCACTAACAGCACTGATGGCAGTGAGTCAACAATTAAAAAAAAAATTAAGATTAGCCAAATATGTCCTAAATCAGATAGGATATCAGTCAGCAGGACTGTATTGTGCATCACTTGCTCCTCTTGGGTTCTGAGATTGTTTCCTTATTACAATAATTATTAGTAGTAACATTAGCATATTTATTATCACAYCAYTTTGTTTCARTCATTAAATTGTTCTTAACCCATGMAATTTACCATTCTTTCTGATTCTCCTGCCCTCAGGGCCTGGGCAGGGAGGGAGTAAATGAGCAGTTGTATAGTCCTCARTTGCTGGCTTGGGTTAAATCACAGTACTGGTAGCACCAGTCTGCTTCATCAAGGAACAGTGTGCCCACCACTATAACCAGAACATACCTATAATGTCAGCTCATTTGTCTCATTATAAAATAAATACCATGAAATTAATTTATGATGAATTCCAGTACTAGAAGTTGAAAATACATAAAAATCAAGTYTCCCCCAATACATTTGCCTATTCCAGTAATTCCGAGTTCAAGWATTTTTACAAACCTGTGGTAATAATAGAAGCACTGAAGGGACCAGAGCAATTTCAAAGAGGACATGCTAAAGTATAGCTACCTGTGCGTGAAACCATTCCACTGACTGTATTAAAATGCTTCCACTCCCTCCTTCCATAGATCTCCAGGATCTCTTCRAATGTCATGCTCTTTGTTCCATGGCTTGCCCTATTCGATGCATTAAGTTGTTTATAAAAAAAACAAAACAAAACAGAAAAGGGTTGAAAGCATCCAAATTACCACTTGTGCAAAGTAACACACTGCAACTGAATACTGCAGTGCATGCAAGCTGATCAAAACKGACTCTCTTTATAGCTTAGAAGTTTCCCAGGACCTAAGCTTTTATCATATACATTCCATCCTCGACAAAAGCCTTACTACACAAAGGTTTGGTTGGCTGGGGACACAGCTACTGTGCCTCACCTGCTAACACAATCACTCTGTATTGCTCGAATGTTTTCAATTGTGTGAGGACACTCRCTATACTTGAGCTATCAATATACACTACACAATAAAGCACAGTGCAGAAAGCCTATACATCATTCTGAAGCCTGGTAACATTCACAGAATGCAGGGCAGGACTATGGAAAAGKGCTAGTTTGAGTCCTGCAAGCAGCTCTTTAGGCATTAAAAATTAACTAGTTGGACCATCAAATTGGGTCCCATTTTGAAGCAAAAGCAGATAATGCCAGGAGAAGTAACTTGTATTAAGTAAACCTTCYCTTTAATGAGATATACACTTTACTTTTGAATTCTACATTTAGTACTCCAAAATTCATRCTATTAAATGAATTTTGGGATACAGAGCAATGACTCAAAAGTATTTCTCTCTTCTTTTAATGAGGTCTGATTTTCCTTAGCATCTTCAAGCTCCTTCTCCCACACACTATCAGAGGAAWGAAAAAGTAGAGTCTGCCTTGCATACTAAATTAGACACGTTTCCATTCTGGAACAAAATTAGGGAGAAATGGGACTGGGATTGATATACATTAGATATATTTACTTTTCATATTTTTTGATTCAAAACAGCAGTCTTCTATTTTTAAAAATGAAAAAGAAGGAGGGAAAGATGAATTAAAGATGTACTGAAATKATGGCTGAAAGCAAAATATAATTTTTAAGAGGAAATCCCCCAGAATTCTGAATGTATCAGTTTCTGTTTAATTTATCTCTATTTCAATTATACATTGTAAGCTTGTAGAATTTTGAATGTGCATGGCACAAAGATAATAGTCATTCTARTCATTAGTATTAGTCATTAGCACTGCCTCCCAAGCCAGGTTACTCTCAAACCAAAGAAAAAATCTTACACTGGATTTTAGCAGAAATGGATAAAGAGGACATTGGTAGCCACTAAAAAAATCAATGCACTTTCGAGATCAATCTGTCCTCAGTGTCAGATTTTATTAAAAACGAGATATTATCTACTATGAGCTAACATCAAAACATTACCGAAGGACTCCCTAAGTAACATTAACAGAAACGGAGCACAGCATTACCAGAAAGTATTTAGACTTTTATAGCAAATAAATGCATGCATGCTGAAATTAGTATTTTAAATATTTAWAAATTGAGAGATGACATTTAGAAAGGGGATAACGCTTTAGGGTATTTAACAATAAAACTTCTATTTTACAATATAGATTTATTGTCAACATTACCTTAAAACTGTTCCATCTTCTGCAAGTTTCAGAAAGTTTCCTTCCTCAATGTCCAACACCAAGCCTTTGCAACTAATAGAGATAAATTAATAAATTAATTTTAAGGAAGAAGCAAAAAATTAATGCTTTCACAGGATTGTCTTCTTATCTGTCAGTGGTGATGATACACAGTTACAGAAGCTATGATGCTTCTGTAGGTATGATGGTACAGAAAACCAAACAAGTCACAACCTCTCAAACACGTCCATGTTTGAACAACGCTCTTTATAAGCAAATACATATTATTACAATGAGGACTRGAATTTCCTTACACAGCAAAATCCTACTAAATAAACCCAGTTCCATGTCCAGTAAATTCAGTGACTGTTCATATAGATTGGTCGGA